GGCGAAGCCGTGTAATTCCGCATGTGATGCGTCAGCCGTGACTCCGGTCCAACGATTGATCTGAAGATCATTGAGATGCGAGAGTTTCGCATAGATCATGCTCCATTTATAGAGAAACGAGTCAGGAATTCGATCGTCCCACTCAATTTGAACCCCCCATAACTGTTGCATGATAATTTTTGCAGAAACGGTGACGGGAGTTATCCACCCCAACGGATCGTAAAGCCTTGCAATCGCAGAGAGAATGGCGCGTTTGCTCTGAGGAGTCGAACTTTCGAGTGATACTTTAAATTGAAATACGTCGCGCGACGGATTCCAAGCGATGCCGAGCACCTTTAGTTGATCGTCGATCGCGATTTGTTTGGTGATTGCTAAGCCGTGATCTGACGGATCGATATCAGCGAGCAAAATCGGCGAGTTGCTTGCCCATTTTTGAAGCTCGAATTTTCCGCAGCGCAATAAGGCGACGAGTTGATCGCGAGACTCGCGCACGAGCGCGATATCATCTCCACCGAATAGCACGTCATCGACGTAAGTCTGCTTGCGAAGAATTGTCACCGCACGCGGAAACCGATGTCCTTCGTCGTCGGCCAAACATTGTATCGTGCGAAGCGCGAGGTACGGAGCGCAGTTCATTCCGTATGTAACGGTAAGTAATTGATAATCGACGGGGCCCTCGGATGGGTCACCCTTCCACAAAATTCTCTGATAGTCGAGATCCTGAGGATCTATCAAAATCTGGCGGTACATTTTTGCAATATCGGCTGTGTACACGAACTTGAACTGACGCCACTGTAGAATAATTGCGGGTAAATCCGTCTGTAATTTTGGACCGGCGAGTAAAGGTGGAAGCACATAAAATTGCAGAAGCCATGAGCAGAATGCAGAAGCCATATGCGCATGCGCTGTGATATCTGTAGAGCTCTACAAATACCATAGTGCATGCGCATATGGCTTCTGCATTCTGCTCAAGGCTCCTGCAATTTTATGTGCTTCCATCTTAAGTGATCGTTTAATGACGTACCGTTCGACGTCAAGCTTGACGCGTTGAAAACAACGCGCAAACGAGTCGTGAGGCTGGTTTCACGAATGACCGGATGATGCGGAATATATACGCATGGATTGTGCGTTCGATCCGCTGATGGCGCCCGAAGCATGTGACCGAGCGTTTCATATTCGCGCATAAACTCATCATAATCCTTTTCTAATTTCGAATTAGAGCGGAACCGCCGTGACAATGAATTGAAAAGGCGTTCGGCAGTCAATCGCAAGCGCCCGATTTCCGGCGGAGGACTCCGTTTGAACGGCAGACGCACGATATATCTGCCGTCAGATTGACGCGAATGAGTATCGCAAAAGTGAGACTCACACTGCTCATCTTGCGGCGTGAGTTTGCGGGTGTGAGAGATCTCCTCTACCTCCCAAAAACGTTGAATTTCCTCGGCGAGAGGCCTTAAACTTGTGCAATGAAGTACGGTAATATTAACGGAGGATCGTCCCGCCGGCGAATTAGCATCCGACACTAGCGGCCCGGAAATGACCCATCCAAATATCGTTTCTTGCGCGATAGGCTGTCCAGCTTCACCCTTTCGGACGCCCCCTTGAATAATATCGTTATAGATATCCGCGCCAATCAAAATGTGAATTGGATCGGAACTGCTCGGGTTCGTGTCTGCCCAGGCTAAATCGGAGAGATGTGCGAGGCATGATGAATCGGCATCGCATCGAGGCGCGTATGCCGTCAAGGAATCGAGAATATACGCAGTGGTACACAGAGATGAATTGTCTGAATCGCGCGGAGCGATTATGATTGACGCCGCGTGGCGTACTTTACCTACGTGAGTGCTGCCGACGGCCGAAATTGAGATCGACATCCGAATGCGATTTGCGTACAAAGATTGAGCTAAATGCCCTGATATGAACGTGGCTTGAGAGCCTTGGTCGAGCAGGGCTCTTACCGTCGCTACGCGACCGGAGGAAACTTTCACCCTAACCCATGCAGTGGCTAAAAGAACTTGTGAATTACGACTATGTTGCGCGGCGGCAAATAGCGAAAGTACCTCGACCTTCGGTGTGCTTGATGGGGACGCTTGCGACGCTGATGGCGTTATCGTCGTTGAATCAGAGCTTGTCTCCGCATCAACGTGAAGCATTGAATGATGCCTCTGATTGCACGAGCGGCACGCGTACTTACTTTTACAATCCCGTACCGAGTGATTGCTACTCATGCAATTGAAGCAACGTTTGAAACGTTTAACGATTCCTTGTCGCTGCTGCGGATTCTTCGCGACGAATTCTGGGCACAGATTCAAATAATGACGCACTTTGCAAAGCGGACAAGCCGACGGAGAATTCGCGGAAGCCGTGGCGACATTGACATGCGATGAATTCGCAGATTTCGACGCAGGTTTATGAGAGGAGGTCGGCGAGCACTCCTCAAGCGCGCGAATACGAGAGGTTACAAATTTTTTGAGATCTGCGAACGCCGGCGGCAAATCAACATTGCTCGTTTGGAGATTCCACGCTTTACGTGTCGCAGCATCTAATTTTTGAGTCAAAAGGTGAACGAGAAAGTCGTTCCATAGATCTTCCGGAGATCGATTCAATTTTCTTAATGATGAGACTGCGATATTTATTTTATCGTGCAACGTCTGTAAGTCGGAAGCAGATTCGCGACTGAGTGCCGACAGGCCGAGCAACGTGGACAGATGATTAGTGAGGAGACGTCGTTTATTTTCGAAACGAGCCTTTAAGGTGTTCCACGCGATCTGAAAATTATCCGCAGTAATCGCAATGTTCGCGATGGCCTCGAGCGCGCGGCCTTTCAACGACGACGAGAGATAATGCATCCGCGCGAAATTGCTCAGATCAGTATTATCAACGATTAGCGCAACGAATCGATCGCGAAATGTCTCCCATTCCGAATAATTTCCGTCGAAAGGCGGTAAGCGAATGGGCAGAAGGTGAGAGAGCGAAGTCGCGGACGCGAGTTGACTCGAATGCCCGAAGTCAAGAGATTGGTGCGGACTCACAGGAGGCTCAATTTCTGCAAGACATTCGCTCATGTAGTCCAGTGCGGCGTTGTAGATTTCCTCGGTTTTCTCGAACTGCTCCTTGACGAAGTAGTCCAACGTAGTTCTGGTCGAGGCGGGGGTGGAAGCCGACAGCCTGGCGTGATTTCCTTGATAGGGAGCCCAGAGCTCCTTGAGGGATGAGATTCTCGATCGGATCTTCGCCACCGTATAGTTCGCTCGCCCAAGCTTCTTAAAATTGTCGAGCGCTCGCTCAATCGAGCGTTGCAACACGAGTTGATTCTCCATCAGTTCCGTCATGATGAGACAGAATTCCGGAGCTGCTTGATTCCTCCACACGCACTCACGATCCGGCTCGAAGGACCAGCTTCTTTATGTGTAAGAAAGCGCGCGAGTCGCAATTGTCTCGAGATGTCAATTGCACTCGC